GACATTCTGATATATAAGATAAATATGTACAATTTTTGTTCAATTAGTTAGTTATTTTTGAATTGTTGCCTGAAGAGGGTGAAAGCCTTCCTCTAACCCCAAATGGCTTTTTGTACCAGTGATGAAAGTGCAGTAGAGTTTAAGGTACCAGCCCAATTGGAGACAAGATCTTGTCAGTCTGAAAAGTCAAAATAATCACACCACGGTTCACAAAACTGTCTACAGATACACTTTCTGATACTTGACATTCAAGTTTCTCTTCATTCTTCTTCTCTAGTGGATAATAAAGGGGAAACCACTTGTTACTCTGTTGAATATGCAATTTTGTGGCCACACTTGCAAACATTCCCATGGACTGTCCCTCATACCCCATTAACCTGATCCGCACCCCCCAAATCTAGATCCCCACCCTCTTCCAGAAAGCCAGGTTTCTACCAGCATTCATTTCATTGAGGGACCTGTCAGTGCATATGAAGTGTCTGACGTTTTACAAGCTAGTGGAGGACACTGGGACAGATGCCCAGTACCTAGTTATTTTCCCATACACAATTATAGAAAGTAATGGAAAATTATCTTCCAACAGAGTGTAAAGGAAGCAAACTGACCTCTAAAACTGGGTAACTAACACTTACACTAGGATACGCCTAAGACACTTTTAAATTGTTTTGTTAAATTTTGATTTTTGTGTGATTTGGAAAACCTCATGGGTTTTGTTGGAATGAAAAGCCTCCTATAGCTAAAGATCCGTGTTTCGGCTATATTGATCCTTAATGAACAGTGACATTCTGAGGACGGATTTTGGAGGCATTGATCTGTACCCAGCAGTTGCCTGAACGAGGTTACCGCTCCTGTTTGTCTGCACTGCGTCTTGGCTGTTTTCCTTCACCCGTAATGACGAGATCTACGTCAGGACACGTGTATTTGTGTAACTTGGAACAATCTTTTTACTTGATTCAGTGGTTCATTTTTCTTTCTAAACAGAATTCATTTTAAATTTTAAGAGAGTTTTTATTTAAAAACTTTTATTGCAGTATTTATGTAGCTGCAATATTTCACAAACCTCAGAGCCACAGAGTAATAGTTTGATAGACTTTGTGACTCTGCCAGAAGTAGAATTCAAAATAAATGTGTTATTTAAAGTGATGGTGAAAGTATTAATAAAAGGTGTATAATCAATGCCAATGCAAGGTTTATGAGTCAATTTCTTGTACATAGAGGACAAATTAAAATATGGAATTTAAAAAACAACTATACACATAGAACAATGCACATTTACAAAAGGAGGAAAATGTTGAGAGGTACTGTATCTTAAGCATTTGCTGAAAAAAAACTTTTACATGTTAAGCCCATGAATTGTTCCAAAGAGTAGGACCACAGCACTACTTTGCTTGATATCTTAAAAATAAAAAGGGGACTCACATAAGCCAAAAGTCACAGACACCTGCCAGTTATTCGTAATCTTCCTAGTTTAAGCATAGCTAATATTTCCCCCTGTAGACAGTCAGGTCCATGGTACCCCACTGAAGTGGTCTGAGAGTAGATTTGAGAGAGTTCCCAAAGCTCTGGAAGTCTGCGTTTGGGGTATAAGGTCATAGGCACATTTTTGGAGGGGTGATGATCTCTATGTTTTTGTGTAGACCTTAAAAAGGAATCCACTGGCTGACTGGAGAAGTTTCCAAAGCAAAGCATAATGATGATTCACTCTGCCAGGTAAAGAAAACACCATAATTTCTATTCATATCATGCTCTTTTAGAAAAAAAGCCAAGCCATACTAATATGTCGACAGCTGCATATTGTATTTGTAAGTAAACATACATATGTACATAAATGTGTGTACAGAGAGGAAAAAAAGAGAGAAGAGAGCTGTTAAAATACTTTACTAATAGTGTGTAAGAATTTGAAAGGTTGGAGAACACTACTCCGTATCAGTGAATATTGAAGATTCACAAGGAATCTTAACTATGTAGGAAGAGGCAAAAGAACAGGAAATTCTCAGATGCTAACATATATACATATATATATTTTGTGTATGTGTGTGTGAGAGAGAGAGAAAGGGTCTCACTGTGTAGTTCAGGCTGGCCTTGAACTCGTGGCAATCCTCCAGCCTCAGCCTCCCAAGTGCCGGGCTTACAGGCATGTGCCACTACACCTGGCCTGGAATGGTAATGTATTTCAATTCCTTTTTACAAGACACAATTTATTCAGGGGAGAAGGTGTCTCATGACTAAACAGCACCTGGGTGTTGCACAGCCATATATTACTAGAAATTGCCACAATATTTCTAATGATGCCGTGACCAGGGTCACCACAACTTTCCACAGAGCCTCAGTTTTGGTGCTCTTATTCATGCTGTGAACCACTTAGCATATTGGGTCATCCGATTTTTGTAACTGTATTTTGTTTTGCTCTGGCTTAGTTTACTCTGAAGGTACCTTGAACCTCCTTCTTCCATAAAGACGGGATTGGCAGTATTTCAGAATACACAAGTATCTTAGCAAATCCTATTATGCAAGTCATTTTCTGCCAAGCAATTTTCTTTACAATTTAGGAGATTTGCTTACAATTTAATTTTATGACATTATATACCTTAAAAGATGAAAAAGCCCCAAAGTATGCCACAATTTTCTCTAAAAGCTTCCACCAGAATATCTGAATTAAGTCAGTCTTGGATGTGCCATTTCTGTCCTGACTTCTATCCCAATGCTTACATCTAGCATACTAATATTTTATGAAACTAAGTTTGTTTTGATGGAAATGAATCCGTACTAATTTTATAAGAGAAGTATAGCTTTTAGACTATTATGTCTTTTCTTTTGTTTCCCTTTTTAAAATTAGAAATCTATGCATTCATGAAGACCTTGCTTTTTTTCCTTCAATGAATTCAGGAAGAAATGGGAATTAATAAAACACAAAAGGGACAGTTTCCATTTAAAAACGTGGGGCTTATGTGGGCTGGCCTGCTGTAGGTACGGCTAACGGCAAAGCGCTTTAAGGTAAAGATAGATAGCAATAAAACGTACAGTGTTGAACCTGCCTTGAAGCTCATACCGCTGAGTGCCTATCGTCGATATACTAAAAGAAGAATTTTAAATGGAGTAGCACTTCCTCGACCATCTAAAAGCTAGGGGCTGAGGGTGTGGCTCAGTGAAGAGAGTGCACCTAGCATGCATAGGGCCCTGGGTTAAATCCCCAGTCCCGGGAGGAAAGATAAAATCTAGAAACTGGCACACCAAGGGCAGAAGGAACCTGAATCTAAGGAGGGCTCCAGGAGACGCACTGCTCCCGCCACGGGAGAACCTGACTTTCACACCTGGAGTGACTCTTCCCTTCTCGGGAGAGGTTGCCAAGACTTCCTATGACTCGAAGATATCCTGAAAAGCGCGGTACATTGATCTTGCTTGAAAATGACGTTAGTGTTCTCTTTCTGACAAGGCAAGCTGCCCCGAGCTCAAGCTGTGTGGAATTCCACCTCCGTGCTGTCTGCAGTGTTGGGTTTCCTTCCAGGGGAGATGGCAAGTTCTCCTTCCAGGAGCTGCAGTGCACCTTTGTGAGTCTGCCCTTAACTCTCCCCTGTGCCGCCTCCACCCCTGCACCCCCTAAGGCACTGGCATTCTCGGTTCAGTTGTCCGAGTGCCATTAGCAAAATCGTAAGTTAGCAGGAAAGTGCAGAGTGGGGTGGAATAAACTCAGTCCTTACTGTTCAGCGGAAGGGGTCATTTGGATCTGGGACCAATGGCCTGTGGATGGAAGGTTTCATCTGCGAAGAGGAACTTTGGGAGCTTGTGGAAACTTCAGGCTGTGGGCCATGGTGAGGGGTCTGCAGGCCGTGGAGGGCAGGCCCTTGGAAGGGCTGTGGACTGCACCTGAGCTCTTCCTTTCTCTCTTTCGCTTTCTGAGCGCTGTGTGTTGTTTCCCACCGTGATGTGCTGCCATGCGCCCCCCCAACACATGGCAGGGCCCTGCAACCATGGTCCACCTAACCACAGACCAAAACCTGCAAGAACATCAGCAAAATAAACGTTCTTCCCTTGATAAGCGACCTCAGATAGTTGCTACAGGAATCTAGCAAGCCGCCCTGACAAAATATGTAACAGAAGGAGTGGTCATTGATTAATAATGATTCATACAGGTCGAACACATACACTGAACACTACTGCAGTCATTGCTGAAGTCCTTCTCTTTGGAACTGTGACAGCGAGTTGAATATATGTCAACTGGAAACAAAATACAAGTTTTTAAAAAATTATAGTCTTAGACTTCATTGTGGCTTTGCATCTTGGGCAATTTCTGGGTGACCTCAGGGAGCCCTGACCTATTCTCAAGAGATAACGCTTGTTCACCACTTCCTGCCTTCGTAGACCCACTAAAGAGCAAGCTACTCCATCCTATGCCTTCTCACCCAGCATGGGACAGGCCGGGGCAGGTCCGCCTCGATGCAACTGGCCATCTTAGAGGTCACCTGGACGGCAGGTTGGTTAAAGCACAAGCAGCGCTTCCCTTCTATCGGTGACATGCAGAGCTAATGGCCTTGAGATTGACACAAAATGCCACTGCCAGATACCCCAGCTTTCTGTTCATCATGCAGGAAGCCAGGCACAGTGACACACACCTGTAATCCCAGCACCGAGGGAGGTGGAGGCAGGGCACCACAAGGCAGAGTCCCCTGAACCACTTAGGAAGACTGTATGAAAATTAAGGATAAAAGGTGTTGGGGGTGTAGCTCAGTGGAACACCCCAGGTCTGGCCTCCAGTATGGAAGAAAGGAAAAATGGGAGGGAGAGATGGGGTGAGGGCCACACAGGATCAGTGTGAGTCGTTTTCCTCTGGAATCTAGACACACGTCCATAGCCATCCGTGCCAATGCACATCCATTCTTATGAATGCATTTTTAGAAATTGGCTTTCAAAATTTTATCTAATCCCATCGTTCTCTTCCTTTGAGATCTGACAGCTCCCCCATCTAGTAGCTTTGAAACTGTTGGAGAAAGAGCAGACACCAATGAACCAGCTTCGCTGCTTCTTTTATTTTCATTTTTCATAATGCATGGGCCTCTGTAGGCTATGCTGGGGAACCTGGCACAGATGACACAATTTCTCTAGGAAAACACAATTTTTTGGTAATTTTTATTTAGATAAAATGCCAAAATTATAGAAAAGATGCAGGAATAGTACAAGGAACTCTCAGACAGCTTTCTTTGCCCAGATCATATACATTTCCCCATTTGTTCTCGTCTTTGCGTGTGGTTGTACATGAGATACACACGGAAGGTACCGTCTGCTTCAGCAGGTGCTGGGAACCAAGCCCGTACAGGCCAGCGGTCAGCCAGGGGCCGCACTCCAGCCCGAAAGGTACTTCTGAATTCTCAGATCGTAATCTATTACTGAGTTGGGGTCTGCTTAAACATGCATTTGATGAAGACAGCATTCTATTATATGCATTCTAATATCCTATATTTCCAATTGTTTTACTTGTAATAAAGGTTCAGTTTCACCAAAAAAGTATTTATATTTTGATTTTCCTCATAAATATTTTAACTTATCACTGTGGGAGTGAAAATATATTTTCCCAAGGCTATGGTACCCCGAAATTACAAGGTGAGTGTGTAATGAAACACATCTCATCTTTTAGTACCTGTGTTGCTTAGTAATCATTGTAATCTCTGCAACAGTACCCTGGGAGGCTAGAGGTCAGTTAATAGTGATTATTACTCCTGATGACATCATGGCTAGCTTGGGACTACCAGAGACAGTCACAGAACTCCGAATAAGTCAGCACATCTACGGTTTTGCTAACACTGATTTAAATACTGTAATGTTCATCTTTCTCTTGCTTTAAATTTGATCCTTTTAAAAATCAAATCATTTCCAAAACCAAACAGCACATTTTTAAAAAAGAATTTAGATTGACATCATTTAACATAAAAATTCAAACTTCAGGGCTGAAGTTGCAGCTCAGTCATAGAGCACTTGCCTGGTCTGTACAAAGCCCCAAGTTCCACGCATGGAACCAGCATGTGACAGAAGGAAGGAAGGAAGGAAGGAAGGAAGGAAGGAAGGAAGGAAGGAAGGAAGGAAGGAAGGAGGGAAGGAAGGTGCAAGCTCCAGAAAAATGTTCAGAAATTTGTCTCACTTCTACCACCACTAGTGGTCTCTTTCGAGGATACTATCAAGATATTTCAACTAAAAAGTTCACAGATATCTACTCACTAACACAAAATCTTGATTCCTGGTACCTACACACACACGAAAATGTTCAGCATAGTATTTAAGAAAAATGATACAGTCTTATTTTTCACTTCTGGAATTAGATTTTCTTCTTAAAAACTTACATGGCTCAGAATGGCAGTGCAGAACATCTGTGAAAGAGGTCCAAATTATTTTCTCTGTGTGTTTGTACCTGTGTGTGTATATTTGAAGGCTTTACTGTTCTAACTTATGGTACATTTCCTGGACGGATACTTTAATCCCATTTCACTTCTGGCTAAATTAAATTAGAATATTATTGCATTTAAACATAGCCAATAAACCTTTTTTATCCTGAATATTTTTACAATTATGATTCTTAAATGACTAATAGGAATCTACTTGCTAACGTCAATTGAAACGGGCTTTACCATGTGGAGAACAAAGAATAGTAAATGTCAACACAAGGAATATATTTACTTTATGACACATTGTGTTATGGAGAATATTTTTAACTTTAAAACTGATACTATTCTTTGACATTTACAGAAGTACTATTTTATATCATGTTGCATCTAACCTCTAGCTGCTTATTTTCTAAAAACGGAGCAAAAACAACAACAAAGAGGAAAAAAGGAAAAAATAGCTCAGCCTACTTTGTTACTTATGCTAACTGCTAAATGAGGAAATAAAATGAACTGTGGAGTTAAGAGAGAAAGAACTGACAGTGCTGAGCACTGCAGGTTCTACTGCAAAGCTTCTCTACGGCCACACAACCAGGACCACACTCCAGGAACCACGCCACTGCACCTGGCATGCGACAGTGGGTGACCAGCCACTCCGCACAGCTGAGGACGATGACCCGGTGTATGTACACGATGCTGAATTCTGAGCGCGGCAGGAAGTGGTTGTTACAGAACAGAATATGCCCCCAAAGTCACATTCTGAGGTTTCCCCTAGACAGAAAAGTTGAAGTGAAGTGAATACATTTTTGTCACGTTAACTGGGAGAGTAAACTGTGAGTTCACTCCTAAAATGTTAATGCTGCTCACGAGCCTTCCATCATCCTAAAGTGCTTTCAGAGGTTCTACACATCCTCAAAGGAGTTGGACCCCAAAGACGAAGGAACAAGCGCGTCTCTTCCTAATCTATGCCTGAAGCTTTGCCTAAAAAATTAGCATTGCCGCCGTCAGTATCTGTTCTTTGGAACCAGGGTTTTGAATTTGCTCCTTGATGATAAGCATCCAGAAAATGGCAGATTCCGGGGATTTCACTGGGGAAGTTGGGTGGAAGTTCCTCCCTGGACCGAGGGGTAAACACAAAGCCAGGGCAGTCTTTGAGTAATCTGAAAAGATGAACATAAAAAGATTAGAATGCCATACTAACAGAAATGATCACTTGGGAAAAGAAAGCGACATAACCGAATGAATATCACTAACCCCATCGCTACAGTTGTGATTGACAGACTTTCCTGACTTTAACACACATCTCGAAGTACTGCAGTGAAGAATCAAATCCACAGTAACAATATGTCTACAAATAGTATCAATAGCTACAAAACATTTTTGTAAAGATATAATCTAAACAACAGTAAAATTCACAATATTTAAAAAATAACAAAAATAAAATAACCCTGATGTCTACTAATGGTCCAGTGAGAATAAATCCCACATATTCCTGTAATGCAACAGAATAAAGCTTTCTAATTGAAAGTGGTCAGTCACTGGTCCATTTATAACAATTTAGAAATTGTGTACTAAGAAGATGCTACGGGTAAAAATTTGTGAAAAAAATGATGTGAAAATGCCTTTTTGATATTTCAATAGAAATTTTATAAGATTTTTATAAGATTTAATTATACTATATATTAATTATATATATTAATTATATTTGGACTCGACTTACTTTTTGGTACATATTTGTAGCATTTCTCTTCTAAAACTCATCTCTCTATCAAATTTCACTATTTGTTACTTACTACTTGTCCATTAAGCAAAACACATTTTAAATTCAAGTCTTACTGATTAAGTTACTGATTCTGTCTCCCATTTACTTTCCCAGTTTTATATCAAATTTGAACTTAATAAGGATTCTCGCTAATCTACTATTCAGGCCAGGGATAAAAATGTTAAATAACCCGGAGCTCTAAACCAGCTTCTAAGAAAATTACTTATCATTTCTGCTCAAGCAGATCATGGCCTGTTATTTAGCAGCCACAGTGTCATGTGTAAATGACATGAGTGGTGGTGTTGAATTATATTTTGGTTCGGTGATGATTTCCTAGGTACTGAGAAACAAACTGAATAGAAACACGTGTCAGGAAGGAGTCTCTGAGTAGAATATTACTTGTAAGTATTCTTATAACTAATCTTTATCAACATATCAATGAAAATGTAGGCCACAAAATAAAATTATTGTTTCATTACAAACGTGAGTATTTTTGAGTAGCTACTGTTTAAGAGGTACAGAATTTGGTTGACAGACTCTAACTCACCGTGGGTAGATGGCAGACTTTGGCTTCTCACACTCTAGAGTACATATTGTGCAACAAGTACAGCATGCCTGTATAGTGACGTGCTACAGTCAACTCGCAGTGGTTTGGAACCTAGTGTTAAAACAGTTTATCCAGGGCCTGAAACCTGCCAGAGTGGGCATATGCTAACACCACAGAAATTGGCAAATGCTAAAAATATGAGGTTCTTTCTTTGATCTCTCATCCCTCAAAGGTAATTTTCTGGTAAAGCACCACATGAGGAATACTCAAAGTGAATGAGCTAGACTTATGTGAATTAGATCAACGTTTGATCAATTTACAGTAATCACAAAACATAATATTGAGAAGATTCAAAATAAGTCATAGAAATACACAGACATATTGAGTGATAGAAGTCTCCTTCTCTGGCTTCGTGTCATTAATAGTACTTTATAGTGTTTATTTCTTGTCTAAATAAAACATGTTAATTATTGCTTGCCCTTCAGATAAAATGTAAGTAATTCCCATGTAAGGGTAAAGGGAAAGATCAGTCAAATACACACGAAAGGAGTGAAAGCTACGCCACACCCGTGCACGAACATCAGTGCAAAGAGTGGAGGGCTGACCTGGCGTTAGTTCAGAAGAACGAGGGAGTGGGGGCTGGGTGGACCATAGCAGCAGGGAGGTGACCTCAGCTCCCTCTGGTTGTACCATGTGGGCACAAGTGGAGAGAGAAAGGCATGTGCATGCATGGCTTGGGGTCTGAGGAGCTATGCTGACCGTGGTGCCATTTTAAGGTGATCGGTGAACTTAGCTGAGTGGGAAGTGGATTCTGTCAGGGTATAGTGTGTGGGATTCATTCAATCAAGTTACTATTAATGTATCAATTAGTCATTTAATTAGTCGTAGCTCTGTGGAGACTTATGGGATGGACTAGAAATTTTATAAAATGTGAGAGTCATGAATGTCGATTTTTAAATTCAATTTAATTAATTTACTTTTCTTGAGACACGACCTTGCTGTGTTGCCCAGGCTGCCCTTGAGCTCCTGGGTGGAAGTGATCCTCTTGCCTTAGCTGCCTGAGTGACTGGAGCTACAGGTGTACACCTCCATCCCCAGCAAGACAGCCATTCATGGACACTCACAGAAAAGCGACAGCACTGTGACTGGAACATTCCAAGGTGTGATGGAGAAGGAGCAGAAACAATGGACTCTCAGACAGTGAAGCCGTGGGATAAAGCAAAAACCATGCAGGCGTGGCTTCCAAACACCTAAGTAAGAAGCTGTCTGAAGGAAAGATGCCCTGCTTAGCCTATTCAGCTACTACTGAGAAGGTGTGGAAGATGGAAGTGGTGACCATGATCTCAGCCAGGTACTTAACGACCTTGGAAAGAACCCTGCCCTGAGGTCGAGGAACAAGCACTTTCCGGGCTGTGCAAGAGCGAGAAAGAGGTGGAGAAAATAGAGATGGTGAGGCTTGGTAATTCCCTTGAGTTCTGCTGAGTAAAGAAGCCAAAATGTAAGGTGGTAACAGGAGACAGACTTGGAAATAAAGGAGTTTCATGTTTCGAAGAGCTTTTATAGCAAGACATGCTTGTATTCTACCAGCAACAATCATTACATGCAAGAGAAACTGACCAGGGACAGAAAGCACTCAACTTTAAGTAGGACAGTTCTTGAGGAGATGATGGGAATAATGTGGTTCAGAGCAAAATTGTACGCAGGCAGAGGTAGGGCTGCTGGCCCAGTGCAACAGAAGCAAAGCCAGGACTGGGGCAGCCACCGTGCGCAGATGGTGTGGTTCTCGTCACTGCTGTTTTTGCTATGCCATGAAAGGCGAAGTTATCAACTGGGTGGGCTGGACAGAAGACACTCCGCACGATTAACTTTAAGAACAGGAAAGATACTTTGCCTACCATGTGAACCTGAAAGATGATCTTGTTATTTAACCGGTTTCCATTAATATTTTTAATATGACAAAATTTATAACACAGAGACACTTCTACCTGGATGGTTGGTTTGTTTTCTGGTTCCAGGTAGACAAGTGATACCACAAGTGAGGATTTAGCGATACAGGCTGCCCACCACATGTTGTTAAGGAGACAGATGGAATGACGCTAGAGATCGAGTTCCTGTCTCCTAGGTGAGACAGGCGGTTATGAGGTACTTACTGCCACTAGTCCACAAGACTGTGGAAACACGCAAAGGTATCGTTGTTTTTTTTTTGGTTTTGGTTTTTCTCCGGTACCGGGAACCGAACTCACGACCTTGCACTTGCCAGGCAGGCGCTTTGCCACTGAGCTAAATCCCCAGCCGCTCGCAAAGGTATTTAATGACCTACCAGCCATCTACTTCTGCAACACAGAGGCATAACAGGGAATTTGATGGGTCCTGTTCTTCGTTACAGGAAGGGATCTTCTACAACTCTCAGGATCTCCCGGGTTACAGGAATACTCTGGCTTTCCATGACTCCTTTGCATTGCCCCTGAGTTTATGCTAATGAGTTGATGCAGAATTGGGGAAAGATTCCAGAAAAATCAATCATATTACTGGAAGGCTGAGGCTTTGGGTCAGCCTGATCGTGGAGGAGGACAGAGGTGTTGACAAAACAAGGCCAGTGAGTCAATCAATCACGTCTACATAATCAAACCAATGAGTCCAGACCCCAAAGCTCAAGTTGAGTACACCATCTCATTGGTGAACCCACTGATGTGGTAAAAGGGTGATGTGCTGTGATCCCATAAGGGAAGAGATAAGGAAGCCTTGTGTCTAGAACCCTCTTGGGCCTCACCTTGTCCGTCTCTTATTTACTGATCCCTACTGTGCACCTTTACAGCAAAGCTATAAGGTCAGCGGGATACCTGCTTGACTACTGTGGGTTGTAGGAGCTTAACTGTTTGTCATGGGAGGTCTTAGGAGCAAATGAATCCACAGCCATTTCATTAAGCCATGAGGATGGCAGCCTAAGGACCCCAATGTGTACCTAGCATCTGACTAAAGGCAGACTTCTTAGGCAATGTGCTCTATAACTTGTGATTGTAACTATGCTAACTCTGATGTCTCATGCTAGAATTGTACTGCAGTACAACAGCTGGTATCAGACTACCTAAAGCACACTAAGATCATTAATAAATGATTTCTAAAGAAAAATTATGGAAGAACATGTGACATCTGTTCAGAATTGCCATTAGGCTACAAATATGTTATGAAGTTCATGAGTTAAAAAAATTATTGCTTTTCTTTTCCCTTTAAGATCACTGAAGACAAGACCCATGGAGAATAAATGAAATCAACAGAGAAAAACTGGAATTTTACAAAAATAAAAACAATAGATTTCCGATGCTTAATGTCATCAGTACCTGTAGGTTGTTGGACTAACATTGATTTTCCGTGGCACACTGCAGGACTCAAATTTATTAGCCAGAGTGACATTGTTTCCAAAAAGACAGTAACGGGGCATTTTAACTCCAACAACTCCAGCAAACACTGATCCAGAATGCAGTCCAATTCTCATCTGAAAGCAAAATTAACAATGTTTATGGTCCCTGGTTAAGCACGTCCCACCTGACAGTATTGCTTGAACGTACTGTCTCAATTGTATTACCATAAACGTGTATATACACGTGTCTCTGTAGTATAATGTCTGTAACTCTTCATGAAGATACCTAGACAGGGAACAGCTGGGTCAGCACAATTCATAATAGGTAAAGTTTGGAACTGGTCCGTATGTCCATCAACAGATGAATGGATAAATACGGTGTGGTGTTTACACAGCACAGAGTACCTCGGCACTAGGAAGATACACTTGAGTCATTCGTAAGAAAGTGGGTGCACCTTGAGACCATAAAGTTCAGTAAAACAGATCAGACACACAAGCTTAAATATCACATGGATTCTCCTGTGTGAGAAACTCAGAGTAAAAATACGAAGTAAAACAAAATAAGATGGTAGGAAGTAGGGAGACAGACAGTCCAAGGGAAAAGGAGAACAAGAGATGGGGGAGTGGTGAGGGGAGAGATAAGGGATTGAAAAGGGGAATGGGGATGTGTCTGAGCATGTACCAACTCCACACAAAAATGTAAACATTATGTGCTCCGAAAGCACCAGAAAAGAGGGACTCAAGAGTGAGGTGGAGTTGAGGGGGAGGGAAAGGGGATGAAAAAGGAATTAAAACATGTCATGTTCGTGTACCAACTTTCCACAAGGAGTGTAAACACTATATACTAACACAGGTACTAATAAGCTGCAATAATACAAAACTGTATTACCTGTGACTTTCACCACGCTGTTCCCTCCCTCAGAACCCTCCAGCCCACTTCCCTCCGCTCCTCACTATGGAGGTATAAATTAACAGTGCAAAATCAGTAGTCTCTTCCATGTGCACACTGAAGTTTATTAAACAAACCATCTTTATTGCATCCATTTTTGAAATCTGAAATGAGGTTCCATATCCACGCACACCTCTCATGGCCATCACAGAGACTTTACCAGGATCTGAGGATTGTTTGTATAAACCAGTTTCTTGCATCAAGTTAGAAAGACTTTGCTTTCTGAACTTCAAGAGTTGTTTCCCAAAACAGTGACAAAAGAAGTTGGCTCCAAGGATCTAAACTGGGTTTCTGAAAAGCTGGGCATAACTTGTGCCTGCAGTGCCTGCTACTAGAAGGGAAAGGCACGGGCATAGCTGTGCCCAGGAGGTCAGTGCAGCTTGAGCAACATGATGACGTTCCATTTCAAAGGAAACAAAGAAGATTTCAAAGACGCTTTGCTTTAAAGTAACCTTATGCAAAACACTTCTCATTATCTGGATAACTAAAAACTGAGGAAAGAATTATAATACCTAAGCAGAAAAGGACAGAGAAAAAACTGGAATTGCATTGCTCTATTAGTCAACTTTTCATTACTGTGATCAAATACCTGACAAAAAACTTAAAGGAGGGTATTTTTTGGGGCTTACAGTTTCAGAGGCTGTAGTCCATGGTCTATTAGCTCCAAGGCAGAAACATCATTGTGAAAAGGCATGGTGGGGGAAAGCTGCTCACCTCATGACAGTGAAGCAGACAGAGAAATGAGGAGTCAGAGAGGAAAGCAAGCAGCCCAAGAAGACATACTTTCCAAAGGCTCACCTCCCAGTGATCAGCCCCTCTAACAAGCCCCCCACCACCTTAATGGCTCATTCATCTACGAACTCATCAATGGATCAGTCTATTGAGGATCCTCACAGTTCAATCTCCTCTCTAGGCCCCACCCCTAATCACTGTTCCACTGCAAACCAAGATCTCATTATATACAAATATATATGCCATTGGGGGATTAGTTCATATCTAAATGACAATATTACAGCCCAAATAACAATGACTGTAATCTGCCTAGCCTACACTCACTAAAGTCCAGACCCACAGAACAATAAAATTGTACCATCTAGGTTATTAAAGGCAGTAGCAGACATGCAGGAATAAAATTTAGGAGTTTTGAATGATTCAGGGAGATACTAAGATGGACTATTTTAAAATGAGATCCTTCAGAAGATCTGATTACTTGATGACTTGAAGGACACCCACATTCTCAAATTACTGCTACAAAAAGCAAGTTAAGATTTTATATGACAGACACCATGTCCATTATTTTCCATTTTATGTTTAGTTGACCTTTTGAAAAATTTTCCTAGATATATACATTTTAATTCAAAGTCATGGACTCAGTATTTTAGATGTAATTTAAGAATCAGAGGACTCCATTTCTGCTCAATTTTCCAGCTTATTTCAGATATCTGCTGCCAACTTTCCACAATCATTTGCTTAAGATGCTGTATTATGAAATCTAAGACATTTTCAAACAGAAACATTACATTATGAATTTGAAGATTTGCATTCTCAACAAATTCCACTAGTAACTTGTAGCATGACTTTATTTTTCTCTGATCATGTCTTCACATATAAAATACAGGGTTGAGTGATTCTTAACGTCAGAATTTTACTTCACAGAGCAAAACTCAGAGGACTGCTAAATCTGGCTCTTTTCTTCTTCAAGAGAATATGGTTTTACAGATCTAACCACTATACAATAAAATAAGATAATAGAAAACTATTTTCTACCCCTAAAGATAGGCCATGACTTCAGCACAACTGGATGAGAAGATTCCACTCTCTTGGGTCTTCTTTAAACAAGTTTCTCTCTGTACATTTAATTACTCTAACTTATGCCAAGTCTACCATAGCATTTTTATTTTTCATCTCATCACTATCATGTAAATGTAGTTTCCTCACAAAGCCGAAGTCTTTTGGATTCCTCCCAGGGCCACTTTCCATGACTCCCCTCCCTCCACAATCAACCTCGCATCAACCCCACAGTTTTCATACTCATTTATCAAGAAATGACCCAAGATATAAGATGCACTTGCTGCCCTGAATGTATCTCTTTTCACAGGAAAAAGACTTGAATGTGGAATGGTGAAAGACTTAGAATTCTGACGCCCAATGCAGAACTGGGGGAGTCTTCTATGGGGGAGTCTTCTATGGGGGAGACTTCTATGGGGGAGTCTCCTATGGGGGAGACTTCTATGGGGGAACCACTTTGGGCACAGCTCATTTCCCACGCCAGGCTTCTGGGTGTAGGGAAGGCGGGACTACAAGTTGATTGTTATGTTCACTGCCACTTTCTCACTTGCACCAAAACAGGGTTGCATCTCTACCTTCAGTTCACTCACATTTTCTAACCCTGAGTAGAAGGACACTTGTGAGGCACCAGCAAGGAGGGAGTTGGGGAATGGTTTGCACATGTGACACACTGAAGAAAAGCACGGATTTTAAAAAGAAGAAAAGGAAATAGCTTCTGTTCCTTCTATTCCATGAGACAGCAGGGTACAAAAGTAGAAGAAACCTGGGCTTTAAAGCCAGATTAGACAAGATTCCACATCCCGACTCACAAAAAACATGACCACTCTTGTGCAACAGGGATCACGCCTTTCTCTTCATTATGTTGTTGCATAGATTAAATGAGACAATGTTTAGGTGACAGTGTGCTCCCTTCTGTTACCCATATTTCCCTCCCCTCTGCCTCTGAGATGTTTCACACCTATCTCCTAAAACCACCTAACATTTCCTGGGATCATCCTGGGACATGAGAAGATACGTTTAATGTCTCACTTTACTGGTCAGTAAAACTAACCTACAATTACCCACATACTACCTGTAAGGTAGCCATATATAATTCTTCCAAGTGCAAAAATCTAAAAACTTCCATTTAGATAAATAAGAAAAATTATGCCATTAATCCTGCTCCCCCACAGAACACATACCTTTTAAGTAAGAAATTCATTTATGTGGAAATCACTGGCCCTGTTAGTAGTCTGGATATTTTTAATGTTTGCTTTGATGTGTTGAATTACTGCACAAAAATTAGAAAGGCATACATACTTATTTTTCTTTTGAAAAATGCAATTAAAAATTATGTCTGGAAAAGTTCAATGTTGTGATGCTTTTAAAACACAGCTGCAAATTATTTCATACTCCTCCCATGGAGATGGGGAATTGAAACCTGCTACATACTGGGTAGACACCACTTCTTTAAGAAAACAAAGTGAAAATGTCACTGTATGTCTTCCAACACCCCAAATTAAGGAAGGAAAGCTTTATTTAGCTCACAGTTTATGGAGGTTTCAGTCCGTAATCAGCTGGCTCCAAGGCAGGTGGCATGACTGAGGGGCAACTGTTCACGGTGGCAGAAGACAGCAAAAGCAACAAGAGCAGTAGAGAGAAGAGCAAGCCTCTTTTCCTCCCTTACAATGTAAGCAGGCTGCCTGCCCTACGGCGCGTGTAGCACTCACACTATCTCTGTGCCCTCCACTTTCGCAGGCTGAGGATGTTTACAAAGTGAGGACCTTGGCCCCCTGCTGAGTCGTTTGGTTAAGCTTCTAAACTTCTCAAGTTTACATAATGTATCAACCATTACATAAGAGGTCATGCAACTTCCATCAGTCTTGTCTGCTGGGACATGAACCACTTGTCCAAAGTGTGATTACTCTGAGACTGCAGTGCTGGAACACCCCGTAGAACAGTGTGACTGACAGTCTCAGCTAAGCCAAGCTGTCCATCACCCTACCCTCACCAAGCAGCCATCTTGGAATGGATTCCAAATGTTGCAAGTGCAGTAATTCAGGCACCCTCAACGACTACAGTGCTCCCCATGGAGGTGCAGAATACCACGCAGTAAAGACATGGCGTGACAGCAGATTTAGAAAACAGTTGCAAAACTCAGGCAGCTTCCACTAAGGTTAGAAAGCAAAGGCTAAACTTCTAATTATTATAATAGTTGTTTTTAAGTTTTTTTTACTTCTCTTTATATTTTATAACACACCAGATTGGATTCTACATTACTTTAAGGACCCAAGTATGAAGGTCACCCACTGAAAATCCGTCTACAAAGGTTTAGTGGAAGATTTGCTATGAGTAGGACATGTAACTGCAGTTCATTCATTCTCTATTATACTAATACCTAGCCTGTTAATTCTATCTGCAGTAAGATTCTATTCTGGAATCTGGCTCATCTAAAATTTTCAAAATGTTACAAGCCTTGGAAAATGCTGATGGACTTGTACTCAACATCCATTCTCACGTAAGGCCCCTAGAAAATTAAAAACCAGAAGCCTGCAGCCAGATGCATCTAAATTAGTCAATCAGATGCATGTGCATGAGGTGTGGAAGGCAAGCTTCCCACTGTGCTTGTACTTCTTTTGCTCCAAGTGTGACCACAGTTTTGCAAATATTTGGGTTTTCTAATATATGCTCAGCAGAGAGTCCATTTTCTAGTCCCACATCTTCTGATGTCATAGTGTAGGCTTCCTACATGCCTTGTTCAAACTCTAACAGGTGTAGTTTTGTTCAGGAGAGGCAACAATTTTCTGAGCATGGTAGTCTTCTCACTGTGACCATGGAGTTTAGCTCTGGAGTCAGCCTCCAGGCCAGGAAGAAGCAGTGGTTCTGATGTATGTCTTTAGCAGACATTTTTTAAATTTATAAATGGCTTCTCCAGATCCCACAAAGATTTTGTAAGCACTTAGTAATATCTGGTAGAAAATTTCCTGCTTTAACAAGTCAGAGATTTTCCTCCCTGCAGCTAACCCCTAATGAATCCATTATTCTTCGGATAATCAACTAACAAACATTTGCTCTTACGACACTTCCTGGACTGCACCACTTGCCTTACCTTGATGGGTTCTCCGTGCGGAGACATGACCTCATCAGACAGCTCCATCATCTTCAGCGCCATGAGTGCTATCTGGACAGCGTGCGTGTCACTTTCTCTGTGCAGCCCCCCAGCCACACAGTACGCATCACCAATGGTCTCCACCTAGACACAATGTATTTTGCATGTTATAAATAGAAGCGCTGGAAGAATCACTGCACACGTCATAGCAGAAATCAAAAATCAGACAGCAGAAATCTCCAGTGCCCAGCAAGCATGTAATGTGAATAATTTACCCTGATGAACCAGGGTAAATCAGATATCCTTCCCCTCTCAGGAAATGCACAGCATTAGACGCTTCCATCAGTTCTTCACTGCAGAGCCGCACAATCCTGCGAACGAACAACCAGGGGACTTCTACTCCAGACCTGTCACTAACCCCCCACACCACCTAACCTCTTTTTAAATATTCACCATGCAAAACAACTTTTATAGAAGCCGATGATATACTTTGCATCCAAAACAAATTGGTTAAGATATCAGAATCATTTTATATCATTTTATAGTTCCCTCATTAAAATACTGTTGTGCATGAAGTTGCCCCCACTAATGAGAGTACAAATGCTTAATGTAAAGTTAAGATACTAACAGTCATAAGAGTAAAAGTGATGCAAGTTTTCTCAAGGACTTTTGGTGTCTCATAACAGTCAGGAAGTACCTAGCAGGTATGGGTCACAAAGGTCAGAACTCAAGAGGTCAAACCCAGAGACAAGAACAGAAATGCTTTAAAGGCTTTGGGAATCAGGCTGTGGTATAAATTCCAAGTATCATCATCGTCGTCATCACCATCCTCATTATCATCATCGTTATTGTTACAGGCAGTTTTTAATCGCCCTGTATACTAGCCCCAGTAAGCTGTATGTTAATTTACATCCAGAAATAATTCCTCCAGTTCTAATAGTTGTGTTTTTCTTCCTTTTTAAATATTTACTGTAATTTATAGGTCAAATTACTCTTCTTAACCATAGCCTCCATCATGAAGGGGTTAAGGGAGAAAAGAAAAATGAAGAAAGGGACAAAACCTCAATGATTTTAATGATTTCCCATTCACACATACTACACACCAAAACCCTTATAATAGCTCCACAGTTGTTCCTAACCTGTCTTTCTGCTAATCTTTGACTTTATCTTCTAGTTCTGCCTCTTGCCTGCATTTCTGCCAAAACCAATGGCCTCCTATTATCCCTCAAAGACACCAAGCATTCTCCGACCAGAAGTTCTCCTCATGGAACAGACTCTACAGAAAGCCCTTTGGTTTACCCCTCATTCCGCCCAGCGTCCTGATGAAACTTCAGTCTGTTAGGACAGGCCTATTCTGACCACCCTTTTAAAGAAGTGCCATCTCCTACCTTCTGCACCTTTTCACCCCTTAACCTGCTTTATTTTCCTCCTAAATATTGCAGCAACTGAAATACTATAAATATACTCATTTGCTTATTATCTTTATTTTCCCTCCCAAAAATCTAAGCTGAGTTTATGTATTATTTTCCCTCTTGTATTCCCAGTGCCTGGTAAAGCATGAATAGGCAGCAGTGCCTCCTGTAAACTGTCCCTCAGTTATGAATGCAAAGGGCTCCTCTAACAGCTATCACGGTGCTCAGCATATAGTCTGCCTAGAGAAGTCCTGCTGCCACTGTGACGTGGAGTTGGGGTCTCCTCTCTGCTCCAGGGGCATCTTTCACCGGCATGGGAAGAATCCTTGACCGTGTCACTTAGGAACCTGGCCCTTGTTGTCTCTGCCCTTCTCTCCCTCTCCCCCAACATGTGAGCCCTGCTTTTAGGGATCGCGTCCTCCTGCTCCTTACCTACGGCCCACTCGTGTTGGCAAATGCTACAGAAACAGTAGCAGTTTGCTAAAGCAATGGATAAAAGAATACAACAGTGCAGTGATCAAAAGATTGAGAGACAGACAGAAAATGAAATTGTCTTCCTACAAATTTCCGTTTGTAGGAAGATGGATATACCTTGAAATCACACATTTAAGTGAAATAAATCAGACAGAGAAGGTTAAATATTGCGTGATTTCTCTTATTTGAGAAACCTAAAGTATAAATAATTTAAGGAGCTAATCAAAGATAAATGATAGGCAGCAAGGAGGCAGACCTTTTGGAGACAGAAAGAGAATCCTCGGGTGGAGGGAGAGGGGACGGAGGGGACAGGCAGGGGAAGGAGGAAGGATGGAGCTGTGATACGTGTGTGTCCCGACTCCCCACGAGCGATGTACTCATGACAGGTTGTGAGTACGTACTAATAAACATGCACAGATGGACAAATAAGGAAATTCATGCATACATGCACAGATAGATAAAGCAGGCCCTGGCACAAGCAGGGCCAGGGATAAACAAGGTGGGCCATTCCCTGGAAGGCACTGCCCTCCCAGATCAGACTGTGGACATCCACTTGGTGTTCCGGCCCTTCCTTTCTTACTCTCAGCTCTCCCCAAGCATTTTCACATGGAACAAGAAGCAAACAGAAGGAAGGGATGAGGACTGGGAGAAAGGTGAGAGATTATATAGCTCTAGTGCCGTGGATCCAAGGGGCAGCTCAGGAAGGAGTGGAGTGTGACACCCTTGCTCGGGTGTCTGGAATGTGCACCCCATGCTCATGATCAGAATGACCCAAGCGGAGGAGGACACAGCTCCTGGCAGCAATCACAGCCATGTGCAGTGGGGAAGACGTCACTCTCACAGTTATGAGCAAGGAGGTATTCTCAAGACAGAACCTGACTATGGATAAATACAGCAAATTCCACAAGAGGCCATCCAACTTCACCCAACTGAAGCCAATTATTTTATTTATTTATTTATTTATCTATCTATCTATCTATCTATCTATCTATCTATTTTTTGGTATCAAGAATTGAACTTAGGACCTTGCGCTTACCAGGCAGGCGCTTGGGCTGCTGAGCTATATCCCTGACCAGAAGGCAATTATTTTCTATGTGATTATACATGGACTTCCCCTCCCCACACATACACACAGATACCCTTCAGGGACTCACAGCTCCATCTGGAATTTCCTGTAAGAAAGTTCACAAAGGAAGGTTTTGCTCCTAGCCTCTCAAATGAAACAAGGCAAGGATGTAAGGATTTATGCATTCCCATAAATATATTTGCTTCTGCCTCAATTATATATTTCATGCTGGGCTAAACCCTGGAATTCCAGATTATTATGCAGCAAATTAAACAGATGGCTCTAGCCAGACAAATATGATAAATATTTTACTCTTAAAGTCAATCTATAAAACAAGAAAAAATAATTTAAATCAGAGAAAACTTTTAACTTTAAAGGAGCTAACAGTACTTGAAATTTCTTCATTTACTCTCTTCCTAATTATAATTATATTTTAAAAAAAAACTTTACTGGGTATCAAGGACAGTCACTTCTGTATAAGTTCTTGGAACAATACCTGACTAATTACAGGTACGCAATAAATCCTGGATGCCTGATCCATAACCCGTGAAGTGTGACTGACAAGTACAATGCAACGTAAAAAAGAAAGTTTATTACAGTAAGGACACATTGCCATTAATGCTCCTTAAAATACCCCCCCTCACTTCAAATCCCATCATTCTCTAACAGTTTTTTATATCCTCTTTCCTTTCGCCTTCGATTGCGCTAGCCTGGGTGCCTCTTTGTCCAGTTTAGACTCCAAAACTTCGTCTTTCATGGTAATTTTTAGCTTTGGGGAGAGCCAGAAGTGGCACGGTGCCAGAAACAGTGAATCAGGTGGAGGAAGACACATCAAAATGTTTCTGTGAACCTATGTTTCTGTTGTACAGCCCTTAGCAGCTACATTCACTGAATCTTTAATCACACCTTGTAAAGACACTCCAGAAAGAGATCTTACAGAAATACTTCAGAAAGTGCTAACAAGGATGGGCTAAGTGTGTTCAAAATGAGGGGGAGGGGGACGAATGGTAATTAGGGTTTTTTAAAAAAACATTCACCATATATTTTCATCACCACCATATATTCCATCACCTATCGGAATCTTTGCAACAATCCTCTTTACTGGAATTGTGGGATGTACCATTTTCTGCCTGCATGTAGATGCTGTGGGTGGGCTGTCCCTCTCTCTGAGCAATGAGGAAGCTTATTTCACTTGCTCAGTGTACAAAGCAAGACAGGATGAAATCTGAGGACAAACCTCCCTTGTTCCCATTTTCTGCCCTTGGCTAGGCTATAACCATGGCCTGTGAAGGTGGTTTTGATTAATAGGAACTGAAGGAAAAGTATCATACAAACTCTGTATTCATCTATTTGGAGACAATTTTATAGGTCTCACATCCCTCTACTTTTACAAATACAAAGGCTAAAGTTTTCCTACATGACTCAGACCTCGGATTACCTCACGCTTAATGATCCTGCTGTTTCCACGATGAAGCGGCTGCTCCACTGATTTAAGTGTCTACCTCTTCCAGGCCTCCATTCAGCCTGTCCTCCCTGCATTCTGCGCCGACTTTTTGGGAAGAAATGCGGTGGTCCTTCCCGGGAACAGTTAGCTCGGTCTCGAGCTGATGAACACCCACATAATTAACGCACAGTGTTTGCTCCCAGGACGTGGCCTGCAGGACCCGCAGAGGAAGCCTCTCCTCTGTGTGACAGGGGGGACAGCCTTACCTTGTAGACGTCCAGTTCCCCACACTGCTGGTCAAAGCGAGTGTAGAGGGCGTTGAGCATGGTGATGACCTGCAGCGGCGAGCACTGGGAGCAGATGGCCGTGAACCCCACGATGTCCGAGAAAAGCATCGTGACGTTGCTGAACTTCTTGGCTTGCACCACCTGCCCCTGCCACAGCTGCTGTGCCACCTCGCAGGGAAATATAGAGCACAGAAGGTCTACCGTCTTCTTCTTCTCCTCCTCCAGAGCATGGTGCGCCTGCTCCAGGGTGGCCTTCAGCTTCCCCAGCCTCTTCTTCAGGCCGTCCTGTGCGCGCGCTTGCTCCCCGATCAGCACCACGTCCCTCAGTGCGTTGTGAATGGGGATGTCGGACAGGTAGAGCCCTCGTCCCGTGAAATCTTCTAATCTGTCCACACAGGGCGAGCCCAAGAACAACACTGCGCTGGACTCAACAATGTAGATCATTTGGCCTTTGAGATCCATCACCTGCAAAGCACAGGAGACTAATCGTTGTGATTCATTCAAGTTTCCAACACCTTTCTGAGATGAAAAGAGAGGAACCGAACACAAGGCTAATGCTTTTGTGTGTTTAAACTCTTACTTCTTTCCCACTTGCTTTCTTACCATTCGATTTGCTGTGCGCTCTTAAATGCACACAGACACTGGAAGATTATATTGGAATGCGCCCTAAACAGAAACCTGGACGTGCAGCGAACAGTGCGGCGCACTCTCGCTTCCAGGCTTCCTTGTGAGCAGCACGCTCGTGCCCTCCCTCCCACGGTCCTTCGATATTATCACTCAATTCATCTGGAGTTACAGTTCTTTGTGTAAATTATGGTACTCATGAAATCAGAAAGGTAGATCTGTTGCAGATGGAAAGCAATCTAGGGATGGGGGAAGGGGAAGGAGATGGGGAATTAAAAGACTAAGATGAGATACGAGGCTTAACAATTCCCCACGACAGATGTATTCATCATGTATCACAAACACGGATAATAAAAAAGGAAAAAAAGAACACAGTCTTTATTGCTTCCTCCCTGATCACTCCCTCTCTCTCCCTTTCTTTGTTTCCTTTCTTTTCTCCTTCTCTTCCTGCTCCTCTGCCTTCTGTTTCTATTTCTCTTCCTCTTTCTCTTCCTTTGGTAGTACTGGAGCTTGAACTGGACGTGCAGGGAACAGTGCGGTCTTCCTACTGAGTTACACACCCAGTTATTTTTTATTATTATTATTATTATTATGAGGAAGAGGAAGAGGAGGAGGAGAAAGAGGAAGAGAAGGAGGAAGAGGAAGAGAAGGAGACAGGGTCTTGTGTAGTTGTTAAGTTGCCCAGGCTGAGCTTGAACTTATCCTCCTCCTTCAGGCTCCCAGAGAGCTGGGGGTTACAGACAATGGCCACCATACTTAGCTATCTTCTTTCTTCTATGTTCTCCCAAATAACCTACTTGCTCCATCTGGCAGGTACAGAAGTTGAAATATCTCCAAATACAAGATTTTTGTGTTAAATTTTTTTTTTTGCCATGAGTAGGGCCACAGAGCTATCTATGGAAGGTATTTTTCCAGAGTGAGCAGCTGGATCTTGTAGAAGAGACTAAATCTCCATTTCAACTTTACCTTAAGGACCTAGCCAGCCCTGCCTTCTACAACACAAACAAAAGCCCACACCAGGCGGCAGAACGAATTGCACCCAGTGTACTCTGAAAAACATAGAGCTTCAAGTGATGACCCAAAAGATTAACTTGCATCCTGCAGACACAAGTGTACATATGTGTCTACTGCAGCAACGGTAGAAAGGAACAGGAGGTTGGTTCAAGGAAGAACACAACCACGGAATGAAATGGCACAGCATCTCTAGAAAAGTGAGAGAGGTCCCTATTTAACAGTATAGGAGGTTGACCAAAATACATCGTTTAGTGGCAAAAGTAATTGTGAAACGGTTTTTATTTTGCTGTAAACAAAAATGTATAGGACTTGTGTTTTTGATATTTTGCTGCAATGGATATCTTTGTGCATTAAGCACCTTTAAAAACATTTAGATTATTTCAGGATAAAAAATATTATAGTGCTTTTCCTCATCAGAACCATTAGCACTTCTGCTGGGATGAGTCCAAAGTTGCTCTCTAAGCTCTGCTTATGCTATCAATGATGCATTACCATAGAATAAATAATTACCAAGATTAAATAATTTTTCTAAGATTCCTTCCTGAGATTAGATAATTTCCAAAATTCTCTACCTTGATATTGTATTATAAAGTATATCTTCCCTGTACTTTGTTAGCAATTAATCAAACAAATTATTTATATGTCTGTGTTTATTAAGTGTTGATTAAAAATCCATTTAGTGGAATTTGGCAACATGGAGCCTTGTTTGTTTATTGTAAAACATTACTTTGAATTGGAAACAGCTTTTAATATAAACATTTATTATTTTAATTATAAAATATCTTGTGAGATTTTCAATGCAGATTATATGCAATAAATATTTGTGAAGTATTGAATCAAATAACAAAGCAAATGAATGCAGAAAGGATTAGAAGTCATTTTAAGGTTTAAAGTATTGTGATTTTAGACATAAATGTACTGTCAACGCATTTGGCGTGATTGTACACCTTAACCTTTCGGGGTTTAGTCCTTAAATACATAATCACTTATTTTACATTAACGAGGATGTGCACTGCCCTTACCCTCGAAGACTTCTTCACGGAGTTGTCCCACCTCCTCACTCGGATGACAAACTGCATGTTCAGCATTGTCATGATCCCACTGAAGGTCTGGTTGATCTTGGGGGTCAGAATCTCAAAGTACTCCTCGAAATGCGGCTTCCCTTGCAAGTCCCTCCTGCTTATCAGCCGCCTAATGCCATTGCCGAGTTGCAGAATGGTGAGGTCTTTGTCGAACATGAAGTGGAATGGGAATGTCTTGCAGAAAAGCGACACAGGGATGACCAGCGAGGACTGGGGCTTGCCGGGGGACAGGGACGGCTTGGTGCTTTTCACGTGCACGGAGTACAGCAAGTAGGGCTGGTTGACAAACTCATTGGAGTCGCTTTGGAAGCAGGGAGGCACCAGGGACACCTCCACTTCGGTCTCATACAGTTCGTGAGCGGCTGCCTTAATGATGCCGGGCAGGATCAGGGACGTGATTCTCTTGGGGAAGAAGTAGTAAACATTTAAGAAATCGTGGTCCTGATCCAGGCATAGGATGGAGGCATCCTCCAGCCGGCCCCTTTTCTCTGCCTCCTGGCAGTGGCTGCTCTGCTTCAGAAGGGTGCTGAAGCTATTCAAAAAATCCTTCAGGGTGCCACCCACCACACCAAGGATGTGCTCGTCTTCTTCGTAGCATAGTTTAAAAAGCTCTTCACCCAGAGACTCTCTGATGATCTCCACAGGAACTCCTGAAAGCACACACCACACTGTCTGTCGTATCAAACGTGTCCACGTGGTGGACGTCCGTTCCTCCAGTGTGCAACCTCGGTTAATCTGTTTACTCAGTTACCTTGTATCTTAGGAGCCCCGACCTCAATCAGATACCTGTGCTCCATTTACCAACACAGATTAGCTCCTTAACTTCTACTAACTCTGCATGGAAGTCCCCAAAGAGTTGATTTCCAGAAAAATGATCAATGGAATACAAAATACTCCCTTTTATATCTCTTAATCTGAACTATAAAAGATTAATGAGAATTCCGGGATGAAGGGCTAGACCTGTAACTCAGCAGTAAAGCACTTGCTCAGCATGAAGGAGTTCAATCTTCAGCCCAAAGGAAAACAATGAAAAAGCTAGAAGTATAGAATTAAATCCATTTCAGACCAAACCTTCCCCTTTTCTGTTAATAACAAAGAGTACATCTTCACAAAGGACCTCTCCCCACAAACGCCTGCCTGAAGTATAAATGTCAGAGTCTGCAATTAATTTAAAGTCAATGCAACTCCGTTTTTTCTAGAGATAGCTATAAAATTTTTGTCTTCCTGTGTAAAGTAGGAAACATTGTTATTTAATGTTACACAAATGAATATTTGCTTAAAATATTTATTTTCAACAGCTTCTCCTTTCAAAAATTCTTTTATTCTTTACATTCTAGGTATCATATTTTTCTCATCTGTGATATAGATGAAACAATCCTGTCCTCTGCAAGCCACTATTGTGATAGTAGACATATGTTTAAAATCACATCCACCTTCTAGGAAGGGTTCAATATAAATGAGCCATTATAATAACAACAATATACTTGTACTTTTAGAAAGATGTAACCTCTTGGTCCATGTATTCAAAGTTTGATTCACCTATTTTTCCCCCAAACTAATCATTAATATGAGAAGACTGCAAACCCTTCTTGCCAGGACTGATTTCAACTTTAAAAAACCAGTCTTTATTTGACCTTATTGAGCAGAAATTTTGAAGTATAAATGAGGAACACTAAACTTCAGAGTCAAAGCCTGTGAGTGTGTGAGCCAGCTTCCCATCTAGCCTGCTCTATTTCTCAGCAAAGAAGTACGATAAAAGAGGAAATGTCTGAGGTCAAACAGAAACACACAGCACATGAAAGAGTTACTCTTTATATGAACACAATCAGTAATATGGAACGCTTCATACTACAGCTCACCAGCAAATTGACAAGATATTCTTAGACAAAATATCAGTTCTGCAGGTATGGGGCATACCTCCTAATTACATATACTTAAACCATTCTGTTACCTGCTGCAATTGCTTGCTCTGCAATTATTTTCTCCAAGTCTTCTTTATCCAAGGAGTTCCTGGAAGTAATTCAATTATCTTAAGTTATAAACAGATAACTGAATGCTGAAAATTCAGATCATGTAGTATATACAGAAATGATGACAGTTTTGTAGGAGAATTCTTGACTTAGAATTTTGTCAGGAAACAGTGGTTACAGGTACATTCAAAACAACTTCAAAAAAGCCCCAGATACACTCAAAATAAAGTGTTTTCTCATTTTGATGAAGCAGTTTGCTTTTGAAGTTCCATATTCTTTCTTTTCTTTTCCTTTCTTTCTTTCTTTCTATCATCTATCTATCTATCTATCTCTCTCTCTCTCTATCTCTCTCTCTCTCTCATCTGTCTATCTATCGTGGTTACCAGAGATTGACCCTAGGGCCTTCACATTGAACTACATTCTCAGCCCTTATAATTTTGACTTTGAGACAAGGTCTGACCACATGGCATCCTCCTGCCTAAGCCTTCCAAAGTTCTAGAATTATATGCATGTGCCACCACGCCCTGGCTTGAAGTGCTCTTTAAATTTCAATTCCTGGCACCTGAATGAATGAAAGAATGAATAGGCCAATATTAAGGGAGCCCGCAGTGTCAGGGAAAGAGGAGTGCACACACTGAGCAAGGGGACAGAGGGGCTGGGGGGGGGGGGGGGGGAGAGGAAGGCTCAGTGGCACGGTGCTGGCCCTGCAGGTGTTGTGAGCCCTGGGTTCTAGCCCCAGCACCGGAGAGCTGGCGGGGGTGGGGGGAGGCAAGAGACAGAGACACACAGATGGACAGACACTGAGACAGAGAGACAGAGATAGAGGAAGAGACGGACGGAGAGAGGGAGAAAGGGAAAAGGGAGAGAGTGAGAGACAGATGGACAGACAGAGAGAAGCAGACAGACGCAGAGACAGAGGCAGAGGCAGAAGCGGACAGAGACACAGAGAGAAAAGTAAATCCTCAGGTATTCTAATCATCCAGTAGGCAGCAAACGTCCCTCCAATGCGTCCACCTCCCAGCACTCGTGAGATGTGAGCAGCAGAGCTTGGCTGGGCCAAGCAGCACACGGTGGTGCCAGTAAATTCCTTGCCCTCATCTTCATAAATGCAAATAGACATAGCAAAGGCATGTATGCGTCACGCACACACACACACACACACACACACACACACACACCAGCCATGTGGTCATCACGGAATGATGGGATCAAAGAGATCTCAGAGAAAAGCAAAGCTGAGCAACAACCCAAACAGTTGCAATGACCGCACTCAAACTCAGTCCCTTAAAAACAGGGCTGGTGGTGGGCTGCAGTCCTTCATTCAAGATCCAGTTATTGTTTAATATATTTTTTCAAGGCCTTCAATACTTCAGTCTAATAGGTGGTTAAGGTATGCTCAGCATTTGGCAGCAGAACGGCAGAGATGGCAGTTGACTTGCCAACAGGAGCGCAAGGGAGAGAGCCTGGACCGGAGCAGATGAGCAGACATAAAACAAGCCAAGCAGAGGGGGGCCGCTCAGCACAAGGCAGGCAGTTTCCGGAGTAAAAATCTTATGTCAACAACTGATGGACTATTATTTAAAAGCCCAAACAACTCTTTTTCTTTAATAAATCAGGGAAGTGGTAACAGATTTCTTAAGATTTCCAAATGAAATGACTATGGTTTGTTTAAGTTTTGAGGTTTCTTCTCAGAGAGACACCACTGGAAACAGCCTCGCTGCCTGTCTCCACGTAGCCGTCAGAACATCTCAGAACACACAGCCCTGAGAATAAATTTTGCAAGGGCTGCCAAGGACTTCAGCAGACAGCCACAGTAGCAGAGCGAGAACGAGGACATGTGGCTATCTTATCAACCTGATGAGGATTAAGGTCAGAGGCATTCTGGAAGGCTTTGCCTATCACTCATGTAAACAGAGCTTCTGGCAGACACACAGATTCACACTCTCTCCTCTGGCCCATCTGTGACCCCTTCTTGGCTCAGTCCTGCTGCCTGCAGCCTGGAGCCAGTTAGTAAGCACGGAAAATGAAGTGCAGATAATCCACAGGGCCGATGAGAAACCCATGGGTCGTGAGAGGTGAATGTATTTTATCAAATCTCCCTCATGGTGGGACTGGTTTGTTCTATTCTGAAAATGTGAACTCAAGTATTTGTTCCATTTTTTGTAACTTAGATAATCTTTGAAACTCAGACAATCAAAAACAAGTCACTCTGTTTACCCACTAGTAGTGAATGTATCAAGTTACATGTATGTGAATCGTATGTTACTAAAATGTCGCCTTGTATGAAGCAACTTTAGAAACCTCATGAAAATTTCTGCAACAGAATGCAGGGAAACAAAGATAAGCAGACCAAGCTTGTTGTGAACACACAGAAGCCCATCCCTAAGAGTTGATAGTTCCGCCACCCCAAGCCTGGAGTCCTTCCTCCTCTTACCTCTTGGGACACCTGCCCCTTCTCCTGATGTGTGTGTTGGGTTGCCCACTGGTATCCCCCTTGGATCTCTGGAAATCCCCTTCAGGAAAAGGTCTATTTTGATTTCAAGGGCTGTGTGCCTTACCTGTCAAATATGGGCGTTACCCCTCCGTGTGACAGAACAGGCCTGAGAGGAGCATGCTCAAGAAGAGTGTATGGTCACATGGTCAAAACCAGGACTTCTCAAAGCTCAGGTTTGAACCCTGGCAGGGCCTTTTCTAAAACAACTATGAAAGCCTAAGAACTGTGAATAAGCCCGAGTTTAGTCATCTATAAGATGTGAAGAATAAATGCACTTACTTTCCAATTAACATCAGCTGAAACGTTTGTTCCAGTTTCCAGCAAACCATATTGATCAATAAAAGTCCACATACTCGGTGGGTGCTGGTTCTTTGTAGGAACGTGACCGACTGGGATTGGGAGTTAGACAGCTACAGTCATTCAACTTACCTGCTTTCTTTTATTTTATGATTTGCTAGCGTTCTCTGAAGTGCGAGGTTCAGCCGTTCGAACTGGAAATTGAAGAGAAATGTTTCTAGAATTCACTTACATAGCAATGTGTTAGAAGACACCCTTTTTTGAAACCTCATCCTTAAGATTTCATACTAAGAAGCAGGAACATTATTACTTGAATAATTAAGGTCACTGAATTGATGCCTTAGGAACTGAGACTAATTTTCTATGTTTTTCAAATATGTTGCAAAATAGGCAAACTCATGAAATAAAAATCAGTAAGAGAGAGTCAGTATTCGGTGAGGATGATTAGCACAAAGAAAGGAAATCAGTATATGTTCAGATAAATCTTAGGTTTCATTTAAATAAAATGCTGGTAAGTAATGTTGCTACTTGTTGTATTCTATTCAAATAGCATATATATATAACCAGTGATTCTCTCCATAGTTCACTCAGAGGAAGTGAAGAACCTTCTTGCTATGTTCAATGCTGGGAAATCCCTTTTCCTTAATAACTATTTATATTTGTCATAGAATTTCCACTAATCTAGGAAGATAACGGAATTAAATACAGCAATATTTTTAACACAGCAAGTTATGAAAATGTCTTTGATAGACATGTAAATATGTATATATATATGTATGTGTGTATATATATATATGTAAAATTTAGGAACTTGAAATATACTGAAAGAAAATGCAAAAACTGGAAATAAAAGTGAATTTGAGGAAGAATAAGTAGGTAGTTCTTGTTAAAACAGATTCTCTTATCATTAATACACCATATATGAATATTTCAAGAATAACTACTATTTGAAGTAACACTGCTAAACTTTCATGAGTAGAATTTCATTGTCTTAGTTTATGAATGAGTCACTCTTTCAGTTGGGTTTTCACATTTATGCAATTTTTATGTTTTCTAGAATAAGAACATTCTAATTCATGAGGGTATAGAGTTTATGTTTATGAAAACAACAGAAGGCTCAAGCCAGGCTGTGACTGAGGTACTGGGAGGTCATCCAAATGACTTCCTGACCCAGAGCAGGTGAAGCTGAGGACTCCTGTATTAAAAGCAGATCAGGCCTTACCAAACGGGACCCTCTTCTCTGTAGATGCAGAGCCAAATGGACTCTGTTGTGGCTTTCAGTGAGGCCAATGTAAGCTTCTATACTTAATAAATAGGTGCTAGTAACTAATGCCTCCTTCTTTGTCAGTGCTAAGAAATAAAATGCTGATAAGTAATGTTGCTACTTGTATTCTATTCAAATATCGTATATATATATAACCAGTGATTCTCTCCATAGTTCACTCAGAGGAAGTGAAGAACCTTCTTGCTATGTTCAAAGCTGGGAAATCCCTTTTCCTTAATAACTATTTATATTTGTCATAGAATTTCCACTACAAGCTCTTTACAGACACTACGCCTGGGGAGCTTACAGAACATAGGCTATCCAGCTTCCCCACAAAGGCCATGTCTTCACCTCTGTGTGTCTCACTCTGCCCCTGGACATGACAGCCTCGCAACTTCCCAGACTTTCCCAAGGGCAGGGGCAACCTCCCTTATCCAGCCAAACCTGATGGCTGGCTTCGGCTGAGCATAACTGAGTACGTTTTCCCATTGCAAACGTCATCCGCCAAACTACTACTGAGATGATGTCATACTTGAAATGAACTTCCTGCACTTCCAGCTAAACCTAGGTGCTCCTTCCCTCGAGCTTCAGGACAAGGCTCCTCTGTCGCAGTCACTGCAGCCTGTGCTGTTTCAGAGAGTCACTGCACTAGCCGTGGAACTTGGGTCAATTCTGGTCAAATCACCTAACTTTCCTAGCAATTCCTGAGGGTGAAACAAGGCTTCTCTGAAATTCTTCTTAGTACTAAAAGTAAGAGAGTGGGGGATATTTGGTGCCTTGCACTGAGTGGAATGTTGGTTCTACATCAATTAAAAATTGCCCACATATTATGATAACTGAATTCCGGCTATATCAATGACCACTCTTTTAGATTAAGTGAGTTTACATAAAACCGAACACTGACTGAGAGAGGAACACATCATAAAGATTTTCAACTTCTCTCTAGCTCTGCAGGGAAAGGCAAGCGCTCTGCATGACTCACCTACTCCTCAACCGTTCAGTCCCTTAAAAGCTCTGTTCCCAGGGTTCTCTTAGTGAGACACTCAACGAAGGTGCACCCCGTTTCAAAATGGGGCTGTGCTACAGGGCTCAACAAATGTCAGAGGCTCGAACACAGAGATACTGGCTATCACAGGCTCAGAACTCTGACCCAAGAGAACAGATCAAGCTTGGTCTGAGAACAGTGAGACAAAGAGCCAACAGGAAAATGGAGATTTTTACACTCCTGCAAATCAGCCAGGGATATATGATTCTCTTTGAAATTAGAAGAGGAAAGCCTGGTAGAAAATAATTATTCTTCAATGGATTTAATTTGAAAATAATAGACACCTACTCTTCGGGACACATGGTGTAGCAGGAACGATCTATAACTTTAGTTGACACTAACCACTAAGAGATAGGTAGTGTGACTTCCACTTCATAGAGGAGGAAGCTGAGGCTAACGGGGGTTACGCAGTTGGTCATAAAATATTGCCAGACTGTAGGATCCTTTTGACAAGAATAAAGGTGTTGTGAGATTAAACACAGCTTAAAACGTGACCTTAAATGTTCTCATATATTTCAAGAAAATATTCTACATTTATTATACTCTTAAAAGTGAGGCTGGGCATGGTGGTGCACACTTGTAATCCCAGCATTTGGGAGACTGAAGCTGGAGGATCATTGTGAGTTTGAGACCAGCCTTCAGTACAAAGTGCGCTCATGGCCAGCCTGAACTGCATAGCGAGATCCTGTCTCAAAAAGACCAAAGCGGGGGTGGGGAGCGAGAAAGCAAGTTTTTGTAAGCACTTCCTTAAAAAAAAACTGTTGTTTTTTTTTTGTTTTTTGTTTTGTTTTTTTTTTTTTTTGGACAATTTGAAAATACCACTAAGATCTCCACAGGGAAGCTCTCACCTCTGGGAAAATCAGTTTGCAAATACTCTCTGCCAAAGTGTGAAGATAGACCCGGCTGCGACTGGTCTTTCTCTGAGGAAGACTTTCTTGCACATTCTTCTCAGGAACATCCTGGCAGACGGGCGCCGTGCCCTCGCTGCTCTCAGAGCTTCCGGCCACCTCCTCTGAGGGCTCCCGTGGCACCTGACCTGGGGCCAGCAGGGAAAAAGGACACTCCCCTGCGATCTTCAGGTCCTTCAGCTTCGTGCAGAACATGGCGCCGCTGCTGCTCACTCTGCCGCTCAGACTTCTGGGAGAAACTTTGCCTAATGCGAGCGCCGTAGCCAATCCAAAGACACCAGGGTGCAGGGCGTCTAAGACAGCAAACAGAACAGGAAGAGGAAAAAGAGTGACTTTCTCCCATTCAGAAATCGGAAAAAGTCAGATGCAAAAAAGCAAAGACTATATCATCATGTATCATTTTCATAAAAAAAAATAAAAACCACAAATTCTGCTGAATTGTCAATTATAAAAGGAGCAGAAAAACTGGGGAAGCTCTTTAATACTTGCATATCCCAGTGTACTTCAGTAGTAAATACTTGACTTCAGTATTTTAACACTTTTCAAATAGAATATTTTCTCTAAAATATCCTAGGCATGAACTACTAATTTCTATTTCTATAACCCATTTGGTCCAGTCTGAGTCCACACGAGTGGAACACCATGACAGAAGCCATGTCTAAATCTGTGTTTTATTAATGCTTGTATTGCTACATTCTATGATGCTGTTCTTTCTAAAATATCCGAATACCAAAAACCAGCATCCCTCAAAAATATTAAACATAAAATACACACACATACATGCACCCGCATACCCAAAGGACATCTTTTCAGATCTGAAACTGACTTTTAGAGGAAAACAGTCAATGAAAATGATTATTGCAAGATAAGGTATTTATCACTATAAGCAACAAAATACCATTAAAATGTTATGTTAAAAATTAATATTTTTTCAAAAACTCCTGATTGCTAAGAATATCTCATGGGGTTTGAAGACATCCCTGGATCCAAACACAAATGACACTCACATAAACCAAAAAAGCCTTGCCGGTCAGAGCCTGCACTGCAGTCATATGCACTGCCATTCTGGTATATTTTCCCTTTAGTTTTTGTTGGTGTCATGCTTGGAAATCATTCACACAATTTTCAATACCCTTATTGCCAGCTGTTTGTCACTGGAACTGACTGGTTTGAATTTAGTTTACCAACAATGCTAAAAATCTTAATTCAGAGGGTCTGTGAACTATTTCCCACTTTTAGAAAATAAAAAAGCATAAAAAATCTACATTAAGCAATTCCCTACTATATGCCTAACAGAGTCCTGGGAACTCTGTACACATTTCATCTTCACAGAATCCATATGACACCAGCATTATTATCTCTAAAGGTCAAAATGCTCAAATATTCAGATCATTTTACTTCATTTGGAGTGCTAGAAAATGGCAGTACCAGTATTCAAATATAGATTGTTCATCTGACTCCTGAGCTAATGAGTACTTTATTACCTCAAATTCAAGTTAGCTCAATCAGGCTTAGTTTATAAGCTGAGATTAGTTTATCTCAAAATATGATCCACAAGTTCATATTAAAAATCAGTCAAGAAACAAATTCTCCTGCTCATTGGCTAGTGGTTTATGAATTATTCAAGATGGAGCTTTGTATTTCAACCTTTAGAACTAGTATTTAAATTTTTTGCATTTTCTTCAGTGTCCTTATTGTTTTCTCAGGATGTTATCTCAAAATATAACTACAAGCAAGGCATGGTGTCTCAGCCCTATAGTCCCAGCATTCTGAGAGGCAGAGGTAGGAGGAATGTAAGTTTAAGCCTTACCTACAAAATGTAGTGACTTAGCAAGACCCTGTCCCAAAACAAAACAATAATAAAAGGGGGAGGTTGTGGACATAGTTCAATGGTAGAATGCCCCTGGGTTCAATCTTTAGTATCCTCAAAATCAAAAACTATAATTAACTAGAAGAGGGTACTCAAAAGAAAAAAAAAAAAAAAAAGAAAATCAATTAAAAATAAAACATTATAAAATGACAAAACTATAGAACTGATACTTAAAATAAATTATTCTAGTACATATTAGAATTTTGATATTGGCTTTAAAGGTCTGGTACAATATAGTTTACGATAAATTCTTTAATTAAGTTCAATCTCTCTTTCCAGTTCTATCCTGACATCCAAACTCTTTAATTTTGATCTTCTTACTCAACCTGGTTTCAACAGATAAGCTGACTAGTCAACCTTCCTCGAAACGCTTTCTTTCCTGTATTGCACAGTAGTATAATTTCTGGAAAACAAGTTGACACTGTTTCTTATTAACTTAAAAACAGCAATGGGAAGCAAGTTGTCCTTACTTCAGATTCAGTTGTTTGGACACACTAAGTCACATATGTATAAACAAACGAGCCCTTCTTGAGCCCTTCTGCAGGTGAGGCTGCACTAGGAAACAGACGCACGCAGGACCAGCACGTTGGGAAGCTGTGAGTGTCCTGGGCTTGCCTGCCAGGGAGACCAAGTGCATTCTTCCATTAAACTAGTGATGATGTGTAAGGGTAGCATCAGCAGTTTCCTCAGAAATGGTTTGGACAGCTGATGAACACGGCACATAACTGGTTGTAGAAATAGTCACAACATGAGAGAAACAAATAAATTAAAATAACAACTTTGGTGACAAAGTCTTGGCAGCCGGTGGAGACAGTATGTTCTCATGAAGGTGGAGACGGATTTGCTATCCCAGAGTTGTTGGACAGCCTCCTGATGTACTGAATGTGGTCTCCTTTTTTCTGGTGAGTAATTACCTTGCTGTGGTAAGAGTAATGACCCAGGTACTGTTCTCAGCGTAATAACTAGGATGTAGTTATTGTTCATGTAAGAGAACTGCCCATCATGTAAAGTCGGGATTTAATTAAGCATGAACGCTTTGTTTGCTACATGTAACAAGGTCATATAGAGCTGAGGAAAACACTTCCCAGGGACTGGCAGGCGTAAAATGCCTCCTTTGTAGTATCAGGTATTACAGAACAGATTTCAAAATTAAAATGCAGTTGAGGAGGGGTGGTCTAAGAATTAAGTCTCCAGCATAAGGGCGAATAGCTACATCCAGCGTCTGAGAGCAGACTTAGATCCCAGACATGCCAGTATCTATAACTAGAGGGATCTAAGTGTTTCAAGATCAAATTGCAAAGTTTAGATTTGTAAGAGAAGCCAAAAGGAAGACAGAACTAAAAATGAAATTAGCTTGGGGAGGATAACATCTGCATATTCCAACCCCAATTTTAACAGACATTTGCAAAACCAAACATGAGGAAAACAGGTAAGGAAAACAGGTAAATTTTCACGTAGGCCGAAAACAGAAAGTTTTCTTCCCTCAGAAATTGAAAAGTGTTTAATACCCCAGTCACTCAGCCTTTAAAAGGTGTTTCTTTTCACTTTGCAGTAAGAATTATTTACAGTATGTTCTCTGTGGCATATCAGGAAATGCCAAAGTAGTAGAAAAGCTGACGAGCTTGTCCAAGTTTCTATATAGTTCTATGTTTTAATAAAAACCAAACAGACCCCTTTGTGGCATTTACCTTTTTTAGTGCTATTTATTATCTTTTTATTGTCATATTTCTTGAAAGAGTGGGCTTGGGAGCTGTGTTTCATTGTTTAAATCATATTTATTCTTACATCTACTATTGTCCTGCTTCTGCTTCCAGTGTTACTGCAAACTGCTTGTTAAACTCAAAACTTAAAAGTCAGAGTTTGAGAATCTTTCGACCTTTAACATACTTGGATTCATCCTGCATTTTCATTTTCTTTGTCAGATTCCTTTTTTAAAAAAAGAAAAAAATAACAATAAAGGCAAAAACAAAACAACACACACACACACAATAAAAATGATACAGAATTCCAAAACAAAATGATAGGAATTAACAATCATTGTTATATTACATATTGTTATCTGCAATGAAGTTGCTCAGATTACCAGAAGAATTCTTTGTCAGAATCTTGACATCCTTTGGTATCACCGGATTACCTTCTACTTCACTCATTCTGTACATGAAGTACTCAGAGGTGGTCCTTCCCCATCCCGGGCATTCCTCCAGACACAAAGGCAGTGATATAAGAGACAAACCCCGCTCTGCCAGGGCTGAGAGCGCAGCAGGGAAAGGGTGACACGCTCTAGTAACGAAAATTGGGGCTGCAAACTTCATCCCATGCAGCCACCTGAGCAGAGCCATGAAGAAAATTCCAAAAGGAGGAACATGTTTGGAGATCAAAATAGACCTAGTCATGCTGAAGAAACTGAGAGAATTCCCAGAAGCTGGACACTGCGTCTGCCTGAACAGGGGGAGGGGCTGGAGATGTAATGTGGAGACAAGGATTTTTCAAGGCGTTGCTAAGTGTGATGCACAAGTCCAAACTCTACTGTATGAACCACCAACTGGGGGGCCGAAAGCAAAATTATGAATGACGTAGACTCCAACAAAAGATGATTTGAAATGTACAATGAAAAACAGCTGGACAAATGGCAGGTCCTGGTTTGGGCTGTAATGGCGGCCTTGGGATGAGAAAGGAGACCAACTGCAGAAGGATTTTGGAAAAAGAATCTTCAGCCTTTGGCTATTAACAGGATATGGGGGCTGGAGAAGAGGGAGGACTCATTTCTCAGTGCCACGGTTACGGTTTAGATTGAGAACATCCCCTTGGGGGCCTTGTGGCGCACGGGTGGGGCCTGCAGAAGGGACTGGACCACGCGCACAGTACTCACTGTGCAGTGGCCCCTTGCTGAGCTCAGTAGCGGAACGTGCTGTGGGATCTGGGCTTGACCGGAAGTGAGGGTCCCGGAGGAGGGCATACTTCCTGCTCCTGCACCTTGCTTTGCTATTTCCTGACCGCCATGAGGTGAGCATCTTGCCTCTACCCAGACACTTCCGCTGGCTGTTTTTGTGTGTGTTTGCCCAATGCAGATTCAAACTTCACAAACTGAGTCAAAGTAAACCTCTCCTCCTGGAAGCTGGAGTGGCAGTGGTTTTTTCCATGACAAGGAAAGTGATTCTGACAATCACAGTCACAGAAAACCTCCAGGCACTGTGGAGGCAATCAAGATAGTAAATAATACGTTGCTTATGATTTTGGTTCATCAGAATTATAGCTAAATTTGGGGTCTTTAATATTATATAAGGTCTTGTAGGAGCTGGGACACTTTAACTTTCTATTAAAGTATTATTTGAAGAAGTAATTTCTGCTTCTTCAAAAGTGAAGACATCGAAAGCTGACTCCAGTTTACATTACCCGACGCAGCATTCACCTTGCCAGCAGATG